CAAAGGAAAATAAAGGATAAAATATTAAATACGCTTGCAATTCAAAATAGAAAATTAACACATTTCTTGAAAACAAAATAAAACCAAGCAAAAAACTCTGTCCCAAACCAACCCTGCTCTAAGAACCAGCTCTGAGATTCACTAGTATGAACAGAATGACGCTTGGCATTTGAATTCCAGTTCTGTCCAGTACTAAGTTGGTGATCTTGAGCATGTGGCTTAACCTAAACCTCAGTTTCCTTATCAGTACACAGAGAAAAATACGTAGGGGGTGGTTCAAATGAGATCATGGAAATCAGTGTCATTTGTGGACCAACGGACCATTGCTGGTCCACAAACTGTTAGCAGTCTGCATCAAGATATGGACAAAAACAAAACATAAGCATTTAGAACATCTTATAGCAATTTGATGCAGTTGATGTTTGTTGAATCTAATAGTAAAAATGCCTATGTTCTGTATGTCTTTTTTTCACGTTATTTCTCTAGTAATTTAATTTTTCTAATAATATGATTCTAGTTCTACTATTTTAGAAAAGTACTTTATGTTTCAAGTGATATATCACAATAAAGCTAGAAAAAAAAGAAAGAAAGAAAAGTACTGGTCTGCAACAGCCTGGGGGGGGGGGGAAAAACACTGGTCGTTCACCACAAAAGTTTGAGAAGCTCTGATATCAAACACTTATACTGAGTGTTGAGCACAAAGAATTCTCAAAATATTAATTTCCTCTCCATCTATTGGACTCTATAGTCAGTCACTAAGTGCTTACGAAAATCCTCCTAGGCAAAAGATAATGCTGTGCAGGTGCAGTGGCTGCAGTGCTAAAGAAATTTAAGGAATTTAGTTGCAGAAATAAAACCCACCTAATATAGAAGAAACAATGTAAAAGAAAGTCAGTACTAGCTCTAAGTGATATTAAAAAAAAATTCTGAAAAACTAGGGCTCTTTTCAGGTTAAAGTGGCCAAGGAGGTTTTGTCAGAGAAAGTGTGATTAGAACTGGGCCTGTGAAGGCTTCATAGAATTGAGGCAGCTGAGAGGAGGAGGGGAACTTCAGCAGAGAATTTGCCAGAGTAAAACCAGAGAGGGAGCCACTATGAATAGAGGAGTCTTAACAGGAAAAAAATGGAAAAGAGGGTTGGAACCAGCTTTATGGGAAAACTTGGTCTTTGTCTATCAATTCAAGGATTTAGAACATAAGCCTGGGACTAACTGAAGATTTCTGAGCTGAAAAACAAAACGATCAAACTGGGGTCGCACAAGCAGGAGCACATATCCTACTGGTGTATCACTAAACATATCACTCTCTGTAAGGTCTCAATCTTTTTTCCTTTTACTGCATTCACTCTGCAAAAGATCCCAACCTCAGATCAATGCAACCATTTGCTTTGTAGACTCCTGGATTCAAATCTAGACTCAGATTTGCTGGAGGAAACCAAACAACCCTGCAAAATGATACACAACAAATGTGGTCTCCAACCTGAACAGGTCCTCAGCCTGGCCCAGCAAATCCTTTGTGTTCCTGGTCCTCTCCCTCTTCTCCTTCCCAAGGAACAGCTGTTTCTAACTTTCACCGTTACCCTCAAGCCCCTTTACTCCACTGCTTCCCACACTTCTCAGCTGGTGTCTCAGGTCCCTTCCTCTCAGAACAACTGAGATCATCAGAAACGAAGTGTCTCAATTCTCTCCACCCAAGCCTAAAAACATACATATTTCAAATGAATCTAAGCCCTCCATTTGTGAATGATCAATTACTTCTCGTCCCTCAGTTGCTTCTTCCTCATTCCTCATTTGTTTCCAATTTTCTCTTTATACTGGCTCCATTCCCATATGTTATGAGTTGCTCAAAGCTCCGCCATCTTAGGGGGTGGGAAAAACCCCCAAAACAAAACAAACGCCTTTCCTTGACCTCATACTGGCTGCTCCTGCACTCCTCCTTAAGAGATGATGCTCCTCAGGCTTGCATCTTTTTCTTCTTTTGGTGGCCCTGCCACACAGCTTGGGGGATGTCAGTTCCCCAACCAGGGCTTGAACCCGGGCCACAGCAGGTATCATAAGTGTTCAACACATGCTTTCTAAGCTGAAGTAGACAAGTTTCGAAGTTAAGGGAGGAGAGGATGGGGCTGGAGATTTGGAGGCATCAGGATGTAAGGTGATGTGTCAAGTTGTGAAAGTAGATAAACTTACTCAAGAGAGTTCTGAGCGAGAGGAGTAAGGAAGCCAGGGCAGACTTCTTTGTCACCCTGTAACTGCAGAGGACTCATTTACATGTGTTCTTCCTTCCAGTTCCTTAAGGGCAGGAACTCTGTTCTATTCATCTTGTCCACCTGGTACTGAGCACACGGCACAGTACATGTTAGGAGCTCAGTAACCTTTTACTCAGTTGTATAAGTGCCACTGATAATAGAGGGAGGTAAAATACTTCAGGGACACAGAGGAATAAGTGACTACTTTGGCCCAGGAGGGCTGGAAATAGAGGTTTTCAGCGGGACAACTGAGCTCCTGAAAGAGAAGTTCACCTGGCAGAGAACTGGCAAGAACTTCAAGTGGAGGGAACAGCAGGAGCACAGGTACCAAAGCATGAAAGAGCACAATGCAGACACACCCTTTCCATAGGTTTGGGAGTCGAGTGCATGAGATAGAAAAAAATGATAGGGAGCTTTAGAAAATCAGCTGAGAGGATCAGAGTCAGACTGCCAAAGGCCATGGACACCCACCTAAGGATATAAACTTGACCGTGGGAGGCCAAAGAGGAGTTTTAAATTTAATCTGAAATGACCAGATTGACTTTTTAAAACGGTAATTATGTAGTGGCAGCACGAAGGTCCAAGAATTGACCTCCTTCAAGGGAAGGAGCTTAATTAACGGCTGATGGTCCGGCTAACAAACCCAAGCAGAGGCTGTATCCTCCTTAAGCCTTCTACCCGAGGGAAAGGAGGGAAGAGAATGAGAAATCCATTTTATAAAAACTCAAGATTTAAGTCAAGCGACCAGTGAATCCCAGCTCCTGCTGACCACCAAGCTGGACACCTATTTTTTTCGGGTCTGAACTGGATGGAAAATTCCGAAGTGGAAATGCCCGGGAAGCTTCTGTCTTATTGTAAGGGTTTCAAGCCCCTTCCCATCACAGCCGCACCGCTGCGCGAGGACCCATCTGTGTAGAATGGCGTCGGGAAAACGAGGGGACGTCCCAGGAGAGTTGGAAATGCTGCGGCTCCCACACAAGACACGGGGTGGGGACGCGTGCGCACCTAAAGCGCGCGCCCCGCCCCCTGCCTTTAAACCGGGTGACGGGAAAGGGAACTCCGCGCCTCCCAGAAGAGCCCCCGCGGCTTTGAAGGGACGCAGTCCGCTTAGAGCCCTCTCGCCCAGACACTCACCCGCTCCCCGCCGGTCCTCAGGGTCCCCGCGGAGCCAACAGCTGCCGCCACATTTCCCGCCACCCGGCTGGGCCGGACCACACCCCGCCTACGTGGGGAGCTGGGCGGGGAGAGCGGGGCTGGTCCATGTGACCCCGAGCGGGCGGGGGAGTTGGTGATGAAGTAAGGAAAAGGGAAGCGAGTACAAGTATTCTTTTATCTGAGTCGATCCCTTATATTGAGCCCCATATCACAGCACAATGGATTTCCTGCTGACTTAAGATAGTTGGGATCTAAGTCCGATTAGAGGTGAATTTACAAACATTCTTCCCCTGCACCTAGTCAAGTGGATTATTCCAAAGTCTTAACAAGGTTAGTTAGAAAAGTTAGGCTTTATTTGTGAGGAAATGGAGAGCTCAGCTACGTGGCAGAGTGGTCTTTTGCGGGGCTGGGGTGTCTGTGTTACTATAGGTATAGGTTTAAAGCTTGCGCAATACGCAGGAGGCTCCTAAAAGGAAGAGGTCAACACAAGTATTCATCGTCAGGTCAGGGTCTCCTCTGGCTTCTGTTGAGATGAGTGTATTTTCCCAACAACAAAAGAAAATAGGGATCAAACAAATAATATCTTGTGAATAATTAAAATTTGAATGGAAGGAATCAATTTCTGGGACATGTAAAGGGTTAGATTTGCTGAAGATGAAAGGACAGATAGATGAGAGAAAAATGAAAAGACACACACAAAAATGGAAAATAAAGAAGACTATAGAACTAGTGATAAAAGCAGAAGGATGCCATTTGAAGAGTGTTTTGGGCTGCTCTAAGTTAAAACTGAGGGTCAAATCCTTTTCCTCCTACGTCCCCCACCCCTACCTCTGCATTTGCTCCAGGCATCAGGTTTCCTGTTTTGGCGTTAGGGAGCTCTTCTGGGCTTAAGTACCACCTGCTTGGAGGCCACATTGCGGGTGTGTCAGGCAGAAGAGTTAAGCTACTTAATTTTTCTAGATTCTAGGCTCACCCACCTTTTGCTTAGGTTGGGAGCTCAGTGGCCCAGGGCCTCCAAACAGATCCATCATGCCAGAATGCACGCAAAACCCAGCCAGTGGATGTAGATAGGTTGATGTGGATTTATAGAACAGTTCAAACCCCAGTGTTCACTTTTCTCAGAGCTACTTCCCCACCCAAGTCCCTGGGGCAAGCATTTCTGAGATAAGTAGGCTACACCCTCGGGTTAACTACTCCAAAACTTTTTGGCATCCTGATCTGGGGCTGATACCTCCATTTCATCCACCATGCCCAGCTGCTTCTACCAACTCTTGGAATGCCTCATCTCCTCCACTTCTCTCCATCTGCCTCCTCTGAGGAGTAACTAACTGCTTCCCTGCTCCCTCAGAAACCTAGAGCCATACACTTGACCGGCAGCAGGGTAAAGGCCAGAAACTTAAGGTCTTGGTTCCCTGTACTTACCACACTGGGTTGGGAGAGGAAGGTATAGGGTGACACCTCTTTTCCCTTCCCTACCTCTCGTGCCATGCCCCAAAACTCAGACACGGTCACATTCACTCACAGTCATACGCACAATCATGCACACACAGCGGCGAAGAAAGGTGGGATGGGGAGGAAGGGAAGTTTGCACCAAACAGCTCATGAATGCAACTTGAAAGATTTCACACGGCAAAAGGCAAAAAAATAAAACACACACATAAATTTAAAAATAAAGAAGTACATGCCCCTCCCCACAGTCTCTTTCTTTATCCAGGGACTGGCTCAGCCCCTCCATGTAAACCCAGAAGCTTCCTATTCCCTCTATTCAGCTGGAGCTTTTACAGGGCCTGGGTCTTCAGTTCAACAGGTTCCCCTGTGCCCTCTGGTTGTCCATTGGAGTCACTGGGCCTGGCACCCTTGAGAATAGACAGTCTCTCAGAAACACTCTTGAGCCGGGGGAAGAGGAGAAAGTCATAAAGGAGACTGCCCAGGCCTGCTCCAATGATTGGGCCCACCCAGTACACCTGCAGGAAGAGGAAAGGAATAATCAGGTTTGGGGAGGGGACCAAGAGCAAGGCTGCTCTGTTTCCAACCCCATTGTTGTAAAACACACATCCTGCACTTGGCAATTACAGCTGGGCACTATTTAAGTAGAAATCAGTGTTTGTTTGTTTATTTTAAAACTTTAGACTCCTGCACTGCCTGCACCACAGAACTTACCATTTCTTTTCCGACTCATTAAATTATACCTTTATCCCACACATTCTTAGCACATGTATATTCTATTTTTTGCTATAAGTTTGTACTAGTTTCCATATTGCTTTGAAAATTTCTTTTTAATTGTGGTAAAATACACATAACATGAAATTTACCATCTTAACCATTTCTAACTGTACAGTTCAGTAGTGTTAAGTATATACGTGTTCTTGTGCAGCCCATCTCCAGAACTTTTTCATCTTGCAAAACTGAAATTCTATACCTATTAAACAACTCCCCATTTCCCCCTCTCCCCAGCCCCTGTTACCTACCATTTTGCTTTGTTTCAATAAATTTGACTACTCTAAATACCTTGTATAGGTAGAATTATATAATATGTGTCTTTTTCTTTTCTTTTTTCTTTTTTTTTGGCTGCTTCTGGGTCTTTTGCTGCCTGTGGGCTTTCTCTAGTTGCAGAACTTGTGGGACCTCTCTAGTTGCAGAAAGCTGGGGCTATTCTTCATTGCGGTGTGTGGGCTTCTCATCGTGGTGGCTTCTCCTGTTGTGGAGTATGGGCTCTAGGCGCACGGGCTTCAGCAGTTGTGGCTCGCAGGCTCTAGAGCGCAGGCTCAGCAGTTGTGGCGTATGGGCTTAGTTGCTCCGCGGCATGTGGGATCTTCCCGGACCAGGGCTCGAATCCGTGTTCCCTGCATTGGCAGGCAGATTCTTAACCACTGCGCCACCAGGGAAGTCCCCAATATGTGTCTTTTTCTGATTGGATTATCTCACTGAGCATAATGTCCTGAAGGTTCCTCCATGTTGTATATAGCATGTATAGAATTTGCTTCTTTTTGAAAGCTGAATACTATTTTATTGTATGTATATACTACATTTTGTTTATCCATTCATCTGTGAGGGACACGTGGATTGCTTCCACATTTTGGGTCCTGTAAATAATGCTGCCATGAAAATGGGTGTACAACTCTGAAAAATTTTTTGAATTATTTTCATACGTTTAGCTGGTATATGGCCAAACAACACAAAAATAGCCAATTTTTATTGAGGACTTATTCCATATCAGATTCTGTGCTAAATATTTCACACATATAATTTTCACATTTATTTCTCATAACATCCCATTTTGTAGTTAAGGAAACTGAGATGCAGAATGATTGAGTTATTTGTCATGGTCACACATGAAGCTAATAAAGTGCTAGAACTGGGATGAAGCCCAGGCCCATTTGTGCTCATACATATCCTGGTCTCTGAGAGTAGAAGCTTCTGTCTTCCTGATCAGTATTCTGTCCTCTTAGCTCCTAGTTTGGAATCCAGTGAATACTTAGTAAAACTCCCTAACTAACTAGTGAAGGAACAATATGAACGAGAGCCTATCTTTCTAGCAAAATAACGAATCCTGCTCACACAGGCATGCAAACTCTGCAGCCCCCTTAGCTGAGTGTTGGTAGAGCAGTCAACACATCCAGATGGAAAGCAGGAACCAAACCTGGGAACCTGCAGTCCACACCCATGCAGGAGGGCCTCAGGATCTTGCCCTTCTCCTCTCACTCACCCAGTGGTTGGTGAAGTTTCTGGTAAGAATGGCAGGAGCAAAGGAGCGGGCAGGGTTCATGCCTGCACCAGTATAATACATCTGCAAAAGACACAGTTGTAACTGAGACACTTCCCGCCCACTCCACCCCGGCTTCTCTCCCACCACCCACCTGCCCACCAAGGGTTGGCAACTTGCCTCCAGCCAGCAGCAAGTAGGGGAGAACAACCTGCATGGAAGTCCCACAGTGGGGTGAAGTCACTAATGCCCCATCTGGTGACAGACTATGGATCCCCCAGCAAAACCCACATCTACCCATGATGCATGCCTTTCCACCTTGGGGTCAAGAAGGACTAGATAAAGCTATCACAAGAGAGGAGAATAGGGACTTCCCTGGCAGTCCAGTGGTTAAGACTCCGCGCTCTCAATGCAGGGGCATGGGTTTGATCCTTGGTGTGGGCAGGAAGAATGCTTAAAAGTCAACAAAGGCTTGGGGGACCGGGAATCCTTAAAAAAGAAGTTGCTCCCCTCTCCTGCTTACCCCAAAGAGGTGCCCCAGGGTGAGGGAGAAGCCAACGGCCAGGGCCACGGAGCCCAGGCGGCCATTCCGCCTCTCGTCGTATGTGGCAAAGATGCAGAGCACGAACTGGAGCGTCAGGAAGATCTCCACTATGGTGGCCTGGCCCACACTCACCCCAGGGTGCAACTGGGCAAAGGAAGAAGAAGGGGGGCAGTGCATTAGGGCTGCCACAGCCTTACCTACTCAAGGCTTCCCCGGCAGGAACCCCCTTACGGCATCCATTCCGTAGAGAGGAAGGATAATACAACCTCTTTCATAGTAATTGTATTTGCTCCTTAATTTCTCCTAATAATACTCCTTCATAGTAGAAATAAATGCACCCACTAATATGGATGAGGAAACTGAGGCCCCATAAGGTAAAATAAGTTTCTTCAAGAACCTGCAGGAGTTGGAAGAAAAGCTGGGACCTGAACTCAGGTCCAGGGCTCTATGACTTCCTTATCCCTCCACAGCACCTGTGATCCTCCCCACCCTGAACACACACACACACACACACACACACACACACACACACACACACTGTCCCAGACCCTGGGGAACTGATCTACCTGCACTTCAGGAAGGAAGTCAGGGCACCAGGTTCCCCCAGCCCCACTCAGCCAACCATTACCGTGTTAAGTGCTAGGTTTCCTCGGACGGCAGTCGGGGTAACACTGTACAGCACGGCAGCCCCAGCCACGGCTCCCAGGAGTTGGGCTGCCATGTAGCAGAAGGCACGGAGCAGGGACATCTGGGAGCCCACAAGGAAGGCGAAAGTGACTGCAGGATTGACATGGGCTCCACTGATGTGGCCCACAGCCTGCACCAGTGTAGCCAGGGCCAGGCCAAAGGCCAAAGCCACCTGCAAGATATGCAGTGGTCCAGGGGCCCAACGCAGTGAGGCCCCTAGCCCGAAGAAGACATAGAAGAGGGTGGCAAAGAACTCAGCAGATATGGCCCTCCAGAAGGAGGCTGACCGCAGTTCCCACATGGCACGGGGGATAGGCACAATGCCTGGGTCCCTGATACCCCCTGGCCTGATCTGGATGGACAGCCCCCTTTATAGAGGACTTTTAATCCCTGGGAGGGGCAGGCTGAGGTGGCTGGCCCAGCCTCTTAACCCCTTCACAGCTGCAGAGGGCTGGGACCACTCTTGTGCATCGGATAAAGCTGCTGCATTTTCCCCTCCCTCCTCAATTGGGAGATGAGCACAGCCATGGGTGTGAGGGTGGGGATAGGGTCAAGGCTCATGTCAGGCTCTGAGAGAAAAGGACTAAGAACAGGGGAACTGGAGGAATCTGTCTTTCTCAAGTCAAAGTTGGGGTTCATAGTCCTGACTGACATCTATATTAGAACATTCCTCAACTCTGCTTGGGAGGTTAGTGAAGCTGAGTTCACTTCATGGAGTATTTGACTGCTCCTGGGGGCCTCCAGGTTCCTCTGAACAAGCCGGGGTAAGGGTGGGGGTGGGGATCAAGAGTGGGGTCCAGCAGGGAAGTTGGATAGTTGAAGAGAATCCTTTAGTTCTCTGGGATTAGAGGGCCTTCTCCCATTGGCTGGTTTGGTCTGGAATCTGTGGACCCTGCAGCTCTGGGACAGAATAGTTCTGCTGCGTCTGGCTTTCTCTGAGCCCGGGTTCCCTCCCCCTGACCCATGCCAGCACCTCCCTTTCCAAACCCTCAGCCTGGCCTTTTATTTTTATTATCTATCTATCTATCTATCCATTTATTTTTTGCCACACCGCACAGCTTGCAGGGTCTTAGTTCCCAGACCAGGCATTGAACCTGTGCCCCCTGCAGTGGAAGCTTGGAATCCTAACCACTGGACTGGACCGCCAGGGAATTCCCAGGCTGGCCTTTTAAACCACAGAGATAGAGAGCAGGAAAATGCTATCTTCCATGGATAGGCTGAGAGTGGGGTTGGGGAGCTGGGGAGGGGAAAAGGGGTGAGTAGTTAAATCTCAGACTCAGTTTGTACTTCATCTTTCCTAACTCTAAGATCGTAGCAGGAAGTACTGAGAGGAAGGAAACTGAGTCATGCCTATGAAGCAATGGGAGTGTCTAATTCCTCCTAAACTGGCTGTGATCAGGACACTGGAGTCCTAAACCTCTATGCCTAGGGAAAGGTCTGGGGGTGTGGGTATCTGGGGAAGCAGGCTGGTCAAGGAGAGAGGAAAGGACAAGATGAGGAAGAAAAGCTTGGGGAAAGAGGTTCAGTTGTGGACAGGCTTAGTGAGGGACTTGGGATCTAGAGATGGGGGCTGTGTGGTGGCGGAAAAGGCAGAATGGGACACACTGATAGGCTCCACCATCTCCACATCGTGGCAAGTCACAGAGATCACAAGCTGTTCCCGTGTGAAACACCGGAATTGGGAGTCACATATAGGCTATTGAGAAGGGGATGTCATGAACAAAGGACTATTCTGTGCAGTTGAAATCCATAAAGAATAGCAGTAACAACAAAAATCCTGGCTTTACCACTTTCTAGGTGGGGAAGTTACCCCACTAGATACAAACTCCAGGAGGGCAGGGACTTGTCGATTTGCATGCAAACCCCATGCTTGACACACAGTATGCAGTAAATAAGTATTTGTTGAATAAATTAATGTAAGCTCTCTGAGCCTCAGTTTTCTCTGGATCAAATAAGGTAATGTAGGTACAAGCCCAGGATGGTGCCTGGCACAGAACAAAGCACTTAATAAATTGGAGTCATTTGATGAGGGTTTTATCAACAGGAACCATTAACCCTATAGCCTCTTATAGTAAGGAATAGAAGGGCAAAGAGCAGCTAATTTGGTGCCCTTGTAGACACCAAATAAAATGGTTAAATTTCCTTATTTGGAGCTACCAACCTCTCTCCTTCACTCTTTTTAAAAATTAATTAATTTTGGCTGTGTCAGGTCTTCGTTGCTGTGCAACGGCCTTTCTCTAGTTGCTGCGAGCGGGGGCTACTCTTTGTTACGGTGCGCGGGCTTCTCATTGCGGTGGCTTCTCTTGTTGCGGAGCACGGGCCCTAGGCGCCCAGGCTCAGTAGTTGTGGCACGTGTGCTCCATAGTTGTGGCTCACGGGCTCTAGAGCACAGGCTCTGTAGTTGTGGCGCACGGGCTTAGTTGCTGCGTGGCATGTGGCATCTTCCCAGACCAGGGCTCAAACCTCTGTCCCCTGCATTGGCAGGCAGATTCTTAACCACTGTGCCACCAGGGAAGCCTGTCCCCTTTACTCTTTATCAGATGTTGATAAGAACCCCACGGAGAGCTGAACCCCAGCCCATTTCCTTTCACATCAGCCTCCCTACTTAGCTGAATGCCAAACTTTCAAACTAGGGATGAGCTCTCAAAAGCTCACATGAATTTTTGCATATCTTTACATGTAATTAGCATACACAATGTTTTCTATTAGCCTAGCCTCCTGAAGGAAAAAAAAAAAAAAAGCTGTGTCTCCCTTGTGGAATGGAACCCAGCCTTCCCCAAGACTGCTGCTTGGTATGGGTGGGGTTATCTATGCCAGTACTCCAGAAGTCACTGAGAAACCCACTGCCAGCCTGCCTGGTCTACCTGCTGGTGAGCCACGGCAAACTGGAAAGTGGAGAAGAACTTCATGCCCTGGCCCTGGCCTATATAGTTCCTCTTGCTCATCTGGAAGGGACCAGAGATGCTAAGACCAGGGGTGGAGGACACATACATCCCTCCCACTGGCCCACAGCTCCCACCATCTATCCACAAAGGCAGCTTTGAGCAGAATCTGCAGCAAGTCACCCAAATTCCTGAGCTGCTGAGCCTGACTCATTGGCCTATTGCATCGTATTGAGTGGCTTAATGAGAGGATGCACAGAGCAGGGCTGCCCCCTCTTTTGTTCATTCCATAAAGTCCTAGCCATCCACCCTCCTTAACTACCTAATGTCGTCCTACTCAGGGAGAGGGGCTGCTGCTTACCTGAGAGACCAGCTAGGCTGCAGTCACCCATGGCAGTACCAGGTAGAGGAGGACTGAGGCCAGGATGGCTGCTGTGTCTGGGCCAGAACATAGGATACCCGCTTGAAAGGGTCAAGCCATTGGGCCCAGAACAGTGCCAGTGGCAGGGCCGGATTTGTCTGGGCCCCACTGACCTCATTAAAAACCTGTGCCAGGCTCACCACTACCAGCCCTCCAGGCAGGCGGTGAGAGCCTGTGCCTGACTCGGAGCTCCCACTGGGGCATGATGCCCTAAGGACAAGCCCCATAAAGATCAGGGTATCCAGGCCTTCAGCCAATACCTCTCTCCAAAACCGCTGGCTCTGTAGGTCTTGGGGGAGAGGAAGGAGAAGGGAAGGCGGCAAGATCATGCTGTCTTCTCCCCACTGTTCTCCAACCCCTCTCCTCCTTAACCTCTCTCTGTCCCCATCCCCTTTAACAAACTCTCCCAACCAGGCCTCAGCCTCTTCATTCTGTACCTACTGACCCCCAACCACCTGTTGTGAAAGGAAGGAAGAAGGACTAAGAGACAGAATAAGGAAGTGATCAGAGAATAAGGCCCCCTTGGTTGGACTGGGATTTATTTTTTGTTTTACTATTTTTTAAAATTCTGAGGCAAATTATTTTTATATTTATTTATTTTATTTCCTTTATTTTCTTGGTTGCGTTGGGTCTTAGTTGTGGCATGCGGGATCTTCACTGCAGCATGAGGGATCTTTTGTTGTGTCGCGTGGGCTTCTCTCTAGTTGTGGCATGCGGGCTCCAGGGCCCGTGGGCTCTGTAGTTTGCGGCACGTGGGCTCTCTCGCTGAGGCTTGAGAGCTCAGTAGTTGTGGCACGGACTTAGTTGCCCTGCGGCATGTGGGATCTTAGTTTCCCAACCAGGGATCGAACAAGCATCCCCTGCATTGGAAGGCGGATTCTTTACCACTGGACCACCAGAGAAGTCCCTGGACTGGAATTTAATGGCAGAGAAGAGGAAATGTCTTGGCTTCAATGGGAGAAGGATGGAGTCTATAGAAAAAGATGGTGGTTTCTCCTCTCTCCAGGAATCTGACCTCCCAGGTCACCATTTTGCCAGCCTGGTCTGGAGTCTCTGTTGGGTGTCCTGCTCCAGTTTGGAGACTGCTATTCTAGGTCTAGGTGGGTGGAGTTGGGAGATGAGGAACAGTTGTTTCAGGTACTGGAGAAAGAGGCAGCCAGAGAGATGAGAGCTCTGCTCCTGTGTCAGGGAACATCCCTCATCTCCTTCCTTCAGCCAATACAGAGGAGCCTCATCCCTCAACCTGCCACCCCTAACCCCAGTCACTGCCCTTCCCAAGGCAGCCTTCGACATTTGTACTCACACATTCTCACACCTAGGCATCCACTCTCCCCAACCTCGGCGCTTCTCTCTCCTACCAAGCTTTTCTTCCTCCTTAGCCCTTCAACCCCAGCCTCACTGAGTGAGGGGCTGGAGCTTATAATGGCTTCAGTCAACCAGAGGTACTCACAGTGAAAGGAGAGACTCATTCTTTCACTCCCTAATCATCTCTATGAACCTGGGTTTCAGGAGCCAGAGAGGTAAAGAGGAAAGCTAATGTGTGGATCTGGAAGACAATGAAAAGAATTCCGGGGAAGGGGAGGTAAGGCTGTTCCTATCCCTCACCAGAAACAAAGTCAACCAGTGAGAAGGTACCAATGCTGAAAGAGCACTTGGGCCACTGGAATGGGCAACGGAAAGCACCTGTGAGGAATTGCCTGGGAGTGCAGGGGATTCTTGGGGTCAGCACTCGGGATCACCCAGGACACACCCTAGTTCATCTTTGGCTTCTTTTCTGGCTAGTTTGTTCACTTTTTTGCTACCACTCTACTCTATTCTTGTATTTGGGGCTCTTTTCAAGGATTGCCAACGAAGTTTACTTCTAGATTCTCCACCTTTCTCTCTTCTGGCCTTAAGTAAACATATAAACATTTTTGAAGTTTTTTCCACTAGGAACTGCAGAAATGGATAAAAGGGATTTGTAAAGTAAGAAACTTGGGGTAGTTACAGAGTTATTTTAAGTCTTACTGGCTTGTGGTAGTAAACATCCTGGAGTCTCAT